AAATATTTAAACAAGGCTGTCATATCAACTCTTAACCGTCTCTTCTCCAGGCTGAACATATCCAGCTCCCTAAGTCTTTCCTCAGAGGGCTTCTTGGTTTCCAGACCCTTCACCATTTTGGTCACCCTCCTCTGGACACAGTTCCATCTTCTTAACATCCTTTTTGAACTATGGTGCCCATAGAAGTGGACACCAAAAACAAACAAACAAACAAATAAATATTTTTTTTAAAAAAAATATGCATGCACACTCTCTCAGCCCCAGAAAAGCCACAGCAAAACCCCTGTGGAGATTTTGCCAAGAAAACCCCAAGAACAAGTAATAACAACAATAATCAATGGCATCATGGCAGGCGGCGGCGGCAGCGGCAGGACCGGCCTGGGGCCGCTCCAAAAGCCTCAGGGGGCCGCATCTGGCCCCCAGGCCTTAGGTTGCCTACCCCTGATCTAGACCCTATACTTCTAGCAAAGGAAACTTGGGGTTAGCTTGGCCCTTTTTAAAAAAAGAAAAGAAAAAAGTGGGACATGTATACAGTTGGAACATCTGGGGTTTTTTGGGGGGAAAGAGCCACAACAATAAAAACAAGAGCAGGGTCCCATTCCTGAACCCTGTGACTTCTTTTTGTCTTTGGCCAGCAGTCTGTGGATGGCAGTGTCAGGGATACGGAGGGAGAAGCGTGGGGCAGAGCAGAGGAGGGCTCCCTTCATGCTTTTGGGGGAGGCTTTGGCCCTTCTGGGGGGGGCATGTGCTGCTGCTGCTTCTGCTTCTGCCCTGAATGAAGTCTGCAGGGAAGAAGGAAGGAAGGAAGGAAGGAAGGAAGGAAGGAAGGAAGGAAGGAAGGAAGGAAGGAAGGAAGGAGGGCTGGCGCAGAGGCGGAGGAGGGAGGAGGCCGATGGAGTGGGTGGGGTGGCCTAGAAGAAGGAGAAGAAGGAGAAGAAGAAGGGAGGCACCCGCTCTGGCAGCACCCACACCCTTCCTGTCCCTCCAAGGCGTTTGGAAACAAAAACTGGGGGGTTGGGGAGGGATTTCCAGTCTATCTGGTATGGCTTTGGGGCTGGGGATGGGGCGGAAAGGGGAGCAGAAATAGGACACCAGCACATCCCTCTCTCTGTCAAAAGTCCGTCATGCTTGCAACAGTAAACAGTTGCATGTTGCATGTTGCATGTATAACAGATTTTCTTTATTATTGTTATTTTTTAAAAAGCACCCCAAGATTATACACTGGATGCAAAACAATATATTGGGTACAAATCTTGATGGTTTACTTCTAAAATTTGCATTTAAAATGGCATTTTCACTAGCTGCTGTATATGAGTGGGAAGATTGAAGAGTCAGCCGCGGTGGCCTTTATTTATTTATTGGATGTATGTCCTGCCTTTCTCCCAGAATGGGATTCAAGGCGGCTTCCTTGCTTCTCTGTCCAAGAGGGTCATTTGTAGAAGTGCTCTTGCTAAAACAGGCCAGTTCACCTGAAAGGTGCTTTTGTGTTACTCCCCTTCCTCCCTTTTTCCTTTTTATGCCATGACAGGCGAACATGGCTCAACTGGGCTGGGATGGTCTCCATCATTCTTCTGCCTTCCCACCTTTTCAGCTGCTTTTAAAAATGTCCCAGTTTTCCTCTCTTGCTCTCACTCCCAGCATCCCAAGGATGGGGTCATGACAGTCAAAGAGACATTAAGCTGCTATACTATAATTGCTCGGTTCAGATGCCTCACGGACTTTAAAACAATCAGAGGTAACCAAATTCTGCAAACAGAAAAACCACAAGATGGAAATTAAAAGCAAGCACGGTTGGTCGTTGCTTCTTCTAAGAGACATGTCCTCTGAGAACCTGCAGAAGGTAAATGGCCTTTGCCAGCATGGAGTCAATGGGATGGAGGCGTTGCAGGGTTTTGGGTGCTACGACCAAAAAGCCACCTGCAATGGAGCAGAGAGTCACCAATCCAGCTTTTGCAAGGAGGAATGATTCCTAAGATGCATTGCAAGCATGTCTGCCTCAGCTTCCCTCCTTGTAATGGTGGGGCTAAGAGAAGGAGAGTGGAAGGCCTTTCCTTCCTTCCCGCTGGTCTCAACTGGTTGCCTTTGGTGCCAACCATCAAGGGCCAAGGACCGCTGGGTGTCTGCGGTTGCCACGGCAACAGAGCAAGCAGCCCCCCTCTTCCTCTCCCGCCTCAAAATAGCATCTCTGTTCTTGCCTGACAGCAGCATCTCCTCCTGGCATCTTCTGCAAAAGGCAAAAGGAGGGCGAGGCAGAGCTGGGGCCAGGAGGAAATTCCTGCTGGAGGTGTGGACACAAAAGCCGGCCTGGAGGGAGGGTGCATCTGGATGTCTGTCTGTCTGTGTTTGTGAGTGTGAGTGTGTGCATGCATTTGGTGGGTGTGCACATTCTCCCCCTCCTTTCTCCTTGCACTGTGCAGCCCATCCTGCCTTCAGCTGGCAAGGACGTTATTTCTGATTTTGTAAACCAAGGGATGCAAAGAAGGCCTGCTGGAAGTGTGGACACAAAAGCCAGCCTGGTGTGTGTGTGTGTGTCTGTGTGTGCATGCATGCATGCGGTGGGTGTGCACACTCTTCTTCTCCTTCCACTGTGTAACCCATCCTGCCTTCAGCTGGCAAGGGCTGGTTTTGCAAACCAAAGGATGCAAAGAAGGCCTGCCCGAGTGGAACTACCTGAGTGACCAGCTGACCAGGTGGGGGGATGGGGGGAGAGGAACCCCACATACTCCTTCTATATGATCCCTTGTAGCACTGTAGACTTGTCTCCTCCTCCTCCTCCTCCTCCTCCTTCTTCTCCAGGAGAGGAGGGGAAGGGAGGTGCAAGGAGAAGCCGACTGAGTGCGTCCCTCGTCCCTCGGGTGGGGCGGCTCCGGCCTTGCAATCTGATTACTGGCCCATCTCCAGTTAATCCCAAGCCCTTTGCCAGCTTCTCCAGAGAGTCCCCTCCCTCCTCTAGACCCAGCTGGCCCTCTCCAGGAATGTGGGTGGGCAGGATTGGGCCCTCGGTGGATTGGGCCCCCCTTTTGTATCTGGTAGAGAGGACTGCTCCTCCTCCCCCACAATCCTTGCTGGTCACTTTCCCTTTAAAAAGCAAGACAAACAAGCCCAGGGACTTTTAAACGAGAGATGCTTAACCTTTGTGACTTTCCTTCAAACAAACTCTTGTGGTTTTGGAATCTTTAAAGGTCACATTTCATGTCGGCAGGAGATAAGTAATGGACAGAGCCACCGATCGATCGATGGAGATGGGATTGCGGTGCAGCTCTTCTCTGGCTTTTTTGCAAAGCCCCCGACGGAGGCTGAGAGGAAGAACCAACTTTGACAGAGGAGGATGGGGCTCCAGGATGGAGGGGGAAAAAGGCCCATCTTTTAAAAGGGAACGATGCCGCGACCTTGTGCCGGTCTTAACCCTGAGCGCTTCTGAGCCGAATTTTGTATTTTGGAATGATTCTGTGACAACAACACAGATATCCTTGTGTGTGAATGCATTTTCAGCCCTGTCTGTGCTGTTGGCGAGGCTGAGCTCGATCCCATGTATTTGCACTCAGTTACAAAAGTCACACACAAAATGCTAACGATAACAGAAACGCCAGAAGATGATGCAGAAGTGTCACCATTGGGCTCCTAATCCATGAATTGCTCACAGGTTGTGCGCCATTGAGCCTTAAAAACTAGACTCCCAGAACCCCCCTGTCAGGGATTTTGGGAGCTGACATCCAAAATATCTAACGGGAGGCCCATGGATGAGTATTACCACCACTCCGCAATGAATGGCAGTGTGAACTTGTGTCTTCAAAGACTGAAGTGGGTTTGCTGAACTGCTGGCATTGGGTCCATGAAAAACAGAGTGTTTTATCATTATTATTATTATTCACTGCAAGGAAGATCTAAATCATGAAATGCACTCAGCAGTCTTGGCTTGCAAAAGATTGACTGAGATGCATTCATTTGCCAAGTTTGCAGAGATTTAGAGGGGCTGGATTCTCCTTACTGTGACTCAGATTTTTGCTCTGATTTTGCCAGAAACCCACAAGCCAATGTGGGAGCACATGCTTTGCATGCACAGAAAGTCCTGGGTTCAGTTCCTAACACTTCCAGGCAAGGAAGGCTGGAAAAGACCTTTGCTTGGGACCACGGAGAACCCCTGTCATGCAGACCAGACAAAAACAGGCTTGGCAATCCATTGCAATACTATATAGTCCTGCTTTCATGGACACAATTGGGGAGGCGATTGATTGTTCCTGAAAAGAAGGGCAAGGTACCCAGGAGCTGAAGCATGGCGGCCAAGAGGGCTGCAGCCCCACAAATGACCATGGCCTGCTATTCCTGCCCCAGAGGATATTATTCTGACCACCTTTTCATGAGCATAAATATTGGCAGTCCACCTCCAAAAAACAAAACAGGGATTTTTGCAGAACCAAGGATTCCTTCTTTGATCCTCACAGTAACAAATGGGCCAGGGATGATAAGAGAAACCCCAATAGTTAAGAAGATGGGCAGCTGATGCCTTAAGTCAGGCTGACTTAATATTTCTATTCCAATTGAAATTCCATTAGAAATTCCATTCTATTGGAATTTCTATTCCAATAGAAATGTTCTATTTCTATCCCATCCTCTGTGGGGAAGAAAGAAATCCCATTCCTATCCCCAGGGCCAGTGATAGGAAAGCTCTCTTCTCGGAGAGAAAGGTCTTTCCTATTACCTTTGGCTGTTGCTGTTGTGTGCCTTCAACTCCCTTTCACTTACGGTGACCCTATCACCATAAGCATTTTATATCTTTATCCAAAACACAGTTCAGATATATAAAACTTCCATACATTAACTACAGTTGTCCATATAACATTATCACATAATTCATGTCAACCCCAACCATCTCCAAACTATCTTCTATCCACTCACTACCTACATCATCTAGCATTTTCTTGTTTAGAGGGGTTATTGCCTTTGCCTTCCTGTGAAGCTGAGAGTGTGTGACTTGCTCAAGGTCACACAATGGGTTTCCATGGCTGAGCCGGGATTCAAACCCTGGACTCCAGCATTGTAGTCCAACACTCACACCACTACACCACACCGGCTGATCTTTTTCTTTTCATTTTAAGGGAGATGATCTGGAATTATTCCCCTGGGAGATGTGCTTGGTGCAAATGAATAACCCTTCCTCGCTTCTCCTCACAGATGGGTCCCCAGAGGCTGTGGGAAGGATAGTGAGTGTCCAGTGCTGACCATCCGGAGAATTGCGGAGTTGGAGTCGGACACCTTGGTTTCCTAGCCCTTGGAAAGGTGCAAAGGCAGGAGGTGAGTAGCAGCGTCCTTTTCTTACAAATGGAGAAACTGAGGCATGCAAAGGAGGAAGGAGTCTGGCGGTGCAAAAGGAAGTGTGGCATCCACATTGCAGAAATGATCCAGATTGACACCACTTTAACTGCCATGGCTCAGTGCTATGGAATCCTGGGCAAAGCAGTTTGTTGTGGCACCAGAGCAGAGCCAGGCATGTCCCCCTAAATCTCTGCAAACTTGGCAAATGAATGCATCTCAGTCAATCTTTTGCAAACGGAGACTGCGGAACGCATTTCATGATTTAGATCTTCCTTGCAGCGTACCGTAATAATGATAAAACACTCTGTTTTTCATGGACCCAATGCCAGCTGTTGAGCAAACCCACTTCAAGTCTTTGAAGACACAGGTTCGCACTGCCATTCATTGTGGGGTGACACTCATACATGGGCCTGTCCTTTGAATGTTTTGTGTTTCAGATCCCAGAATCCCTGACTGGGGGATTCTGGGAGTCTAAAGTTTTTAAAGCTCTCTTCTCAAGACAGAGAGGTCTTTCCTATCACCTTTGGCTGTTGTGGCTGTGTGCCTTTTTGACTTATGGAGCTCTGGTGCCACAACGAACTGCCATGCCCAGGATCCCCTAGCATTGAGCCATGGCAGCTAAAGTGGTGTCAAACTGGATCATTTCTACTATGTGGATGCAGCCTTAAATGACAAAAGCCGAGTCCAGCCGGTCCAAAGGTCTTGAGGGGGACAACCAGCTCAGCCTCTGCCTCCCTTCCTCCCCATTTATAACCTCAGAGCAAAAGTGCAGGAAGTTCAACAGGGTTTGGATTCCCAGCGGAAGTGGTGCGGCATTTTAGAAATTTGTTGTTTTTTTTTGGGGGGGGGGGGAAGGAAGTGACTCTTTTTTGGAAACAAGGGAGCAAGGGCAAAGCTCACAATAAATGTTTCCTCGTGCAACCAGAGTGATTCTTCTTAAAGAAGTGCTGGGTGGATTCCCTTTCCATCTGCAGTTTGTGATTGCTTGGGCAGGGCACTCTGCACATGCCTAGAGGGCACTTGTTAACAGCATGCCTATCTGGACTGGAGTTTCAGTTGTGGCATCAGAGGTTGAATTTCAAGCTTTGGTACAGAGGTTTGGCTTTTATTGGGGTGGCACCCCAGCTTGGGGATAGAAGGGGAAGAGGTGGAAATGCTGAGGAATGGAACAGACTTTTGCACGCCTGAGGTCCAGGGTTCAATCCTTAGCATCTCCAGATAAAGGGAAGCTGGGGAGCAGATTCTCTTTGGGCATGAGGTGGTGCTGGCAGTCTGATTTGGAAGAAAGTGACTCCCTACCCTGGTCTCTGGATGGGTTCTCCCTAGGACTGGAGTCTTGGGAAGAGAGTGGCTAGCATCCTCTGTCATGGAGATGGAGTGCAACTTTGCAGTCGCAGAATTGATTGGTGGCTGTACAATGCCACCTTGTTGGTGAATTGCAATGTTGCACAGCTTTTCCATGCACGGTCTGCACAAGCAAATGTACAACCATGCACACTTAGAAAGCATGCACTCTGCTTAACTGAGCACTTCTTAACTTCTTCACTAGACAAAATGTCCAGCCACTTCCATAGGGGAACGTATGCGTATGTAAGACACACAAAGGATTCCAGTCTGTCTGTTGGAATCCCAGCTGATGAGATTCTTGGTGGGTCCGGTTTGTCCTCATATCTGGAACAAAAAAGGGAAACCAACCTTCTTTCTTCCTTCCTTCCTTCCTTCCTTCCTTCCTTCCTTCCTTCCTCTGTCTGTGGCATGGACAGGAGGCATCCTGTGACCTTTGAGGGGTGCCAAGGCAATTGGGATCCCTCTTTCTTTCCTCACAAATGCTGAGTCCCATGAAGACAGAAGGGTGTCCCTCCTTTTAATATTCCATGCAGGGATGGTAGAAATGTCATTCCTTCACTATTTTGTCCTCTCATATGAGGGCAAGTAATTAACCCTAATTTTCTGCAGCAGAGAAAATGAGTTTTCCTCCACGGTATTCTCTCCATATTTGAATGTCCCAAAATGTTGCAGAGGAATTCTTTTGTGGAACAAAACAGGTATGTGTGTGTGTATGTGTGTGTGTGTGTGTGCGCGCGCAAAAATTGGCCTTCTGAGCCGGAAACTCATTTTCTGAACAGAAAAATAAGATTTTTTTGCCCACACACACACACGCACACAGTTTTCCTCTGTGGAATAATTTCCCCCATAATACTTTGGATGTTCAAATTCCAGGAGAAAATTGCGCAAAATTCTTGCCGGTCTCTTATTCTTCTGGATGGGATTCCCTGACCGTTGTTGTTGTGTGTCTTCGAGTTGTTTTTGACTTATGGAGACTCTATCAGGGGATTTTCTGGGGCTGAGAGCATGTGACTTTCCCAAGGTCACCCAGTGGGTTTCCATGGCTGAACGGGGATTCGGACTCTGGCCTCCAGGGCTGTAGTCCAGTGCTCAAAGCAGGACCACGCGTTCGCTCTCAGGTATACTCTCTGGTAAATCAGCATTGCATTAGTCTTTAAAGTCTAATGGGTGGCTTTCAGAGGACTTGGGTAACCTTTTGCTTGTGTATGGAAGACCTGTGGGTTTTTGTGTACGCTTGTCATTTTGGTCTAGTTACACTGTCTGTGCGGAAGAGTTCTGCATAACTCAAAAGCTTGCATCCATTTTTAAAGAAATGTGAACGTACAGCTTTGCTTCTCCTGCCTCCTTGCTCCATGAACTGGTTCTTAAGGCTCTGTCTGTCGCTCTTGGGGAATATTTTCCTCTCCTGTTGGGCAACATCCTGAAATTGCAGGACCTGCGAAGCAAGTTTCTTCACCGGGAAGCACACCCTTCGACTCTCCCGGCTTGTGGCTTTGCAGGAAATGTTCCTTTCAGTTGAAGAGACCCCGGCCTTATCTCAAGAGCCAAAGAGACTGAGCAGGAACAAAAAGGAAAGGCTTTGGAAATTTACCTTTTCGGATTGCAAGGCTCCCCAAAACTCCTCAGCCAGCGTGGCTCATGGCCATGTATGTACCTGCTCCAGGTGTCAAAATTCTGCGAGCTCAAGTCCAAAAAAGTAACTTCTCCAAACTCAGAGAAGAGGGGAATCGCACAATAATGTCAGCAATTTTCAGGTTAAATGAGACTGCTGCCCAAAAGAAGAGTTGGCACCAGAGCTGATGCCAAGCAATGGGAGGACAAAAGAACGTGCTCCTTAGATCTAGCGCTGCTTGAACCCAGAACGAGGGAGAGTTTCTTCCTTTTGGGAGGAGGGATTGCAGCTCCCATCATTCCCCCAGCCAGCAGGGGGTGGTGGCAATTGTAGAAAGAAGAAACCTTCCCAATGTAACTGCAATGTACTTTTGCTGTGCATGCTTTCCAAGTACATTGTAGAGAGATCTTGTAGCACCTTTGAGACTAACTGAAAGAAACAAGTTGGCAGCATGAGCTTTCAGAAGAATTTATCACATGGGGGACAATTGGGAGTATAAATGGTGATATAACCCGTGATAATCTGCAGTCGCACTAATGGTTTTCATACGACGTCGTGTTCAAAATGGCATCCCATGATTAACCCGTGATTATTGCACAATTGCGCTAATGGTTTTCACACGACGTCAAAGTGAAATGTGATTAAAGTGCCATTAACCTGTGAATAACCAGGCAAGAAACAGCAGCAAATCATTCTCACAGGATTTTGCTGTTTATTCCCTGCTTATTCACAAAATAATGGCTCTTGTGTTAATCTCATTTTAATCGCGTTTTAATGTCAATTGCATGATATTCTCGGGTTAATCACTGTTTAAAGTCCCAATCCCCCCTCCCCCCGTGTGATAAACTCCATTGACTCAAGTCTACTTCCTTAAGTCCAAATGCATCTGAGGAAGTAGACTTAAGTCTAGGAAAGTGTCATGGTGCCAGCTTCTTTCTTTCAGTGAGTCTCAAAGGCGCTCCAAGATCTCTCTACATACCAATCCTATAGACTAACACGGCTCTGTCTTTGAATTCCAAGTACATTGTAATTGCAATATACAGATGGGAGGTGGAGGAGTGTT